AGTTCTACAATTTCTAGTCAGGGTATGACATTGACATTTATTATTTATTTTGCTGCTACTATTCAGTAGCTTTAACAAATATTTACATTTTATTTGACAATATTTTGTTGCTTGCTATTGCTAATGTGTCCAATTAGTACCGAACCGAACCGTAACCTCTGTACCGCAATACGTACCGAACCGAATTGTAGGCGTACCGTTTCACCCCTACTGCAAGGTATTTATTTATCCGCCTGGAAGAAAATTGCTTTGGCTAGAACTACAGATCTTACCTTGCCAATGCTCACTGTTCAGGACAATGGGAAAATAATGCATCAGCAAAATGACCCGTATGTCCATGCAATGTTTTCGGAATCGGTCGAGAAAGCACTGCTGGCAAATGACGTTATAAAAGAAGCAGAGTTCTGTAGACTTTTTAGACAATGGCACGAAGCTAAAGATCATCCATGTATGTACGTGGTATTCCGCGAATAACATTTGAAGGACTTGTCTGTAGTATCGATGCCCATATCATTCTGTATGCCATCATAAAAGGAGGTAGCTACAACTGGCGATCTGTATCGACACTAGTAGCAGAAAATTTCATGGGGGAGTTGGCGGAATGCTCCAGAGCAAGTAATGGAGTTCCAAATGGACAGATGCTAAAATACGACATTGGAAAAATTTCACAACTTCATGCTATGCGCCTAAATCCCAACAGGTAATTCATTACAATGGCAATGACGTTATCAATATTTGTGATTATATTTAATATAATTAAATTACAGATCTTACAGGTTTCACAGTAAGATCTGACAAAGTACGATTGGTTATGGTCACAAAATACAGTGATAATATCATAAGAGGTCATCGGCACATCGTCAGATGTTGATACATAACATGAAAGATATGTATTTCAATTATATTGGATTACGTTTAGGATTATCTAGGATTGTGTCCAGTTCAAACTATCGGGATTCTGTCGATGAAAATTGTTGACTAATACGACAGACATACTGATAAATATAAAGAGGATCTCTAATGAGCATCGCAAAAATGAAAAAATCGGCGGAACGAGTTTCATAAATATCAGATTAAATGGAAATGGATTTGATATTCTGTTTATCATATGGCCTATACAATGGCTCAAAATTGACAATAATTATAAATGCTTTGCAATACTATCCGATCTTGTCAGAGTTAAAACTCCATTGTTTCAACTCTTTTGTCATGTTCGACCCCCTCCACAAAGATTATTTAAGTACGAAAAATATATTACCTTGTTTTAAATGATATCAATAAGTCCCTCCCAGAAAAGGGGAGGATTCTATCATAAAACAATAATAATTAAACATGCTTTGTGTTGCATTCTTTTAGACAATTCACCATGCAGACTTCTAGAGCAAGAACGTATGAGATGCAGGAGACATTCAGCGGACCAGACACGTCAAATGATACAGAACCCATATGTGAACAGCCAAGCGCACATATTTCGTCCATTTTAATCAGGTACATGCACTTATATCTGTGCTCCATTTATGGCTACTAGCTTTCATTCACATGGGCCTTTTGTCATGCAACATGCGACGGCATGATACAATAAGATGTCTAGATGGACGTAAAGGTATTTACTATTTGATACTATTTTCAAGATGACCGCCATGATTATGCATAGCAACAACGCGTTTTGGGCTTCAATTCACTTCAAACTTGAATGGTGGGAAGGGTGGGTATATATCATTGCAATATTTTCTTCGAAATATCACAAGTCTGCATTGTTGAGCCTGGTCACTGGACCAGAGGGAGTTGCTATCAAACACCCAGTCATCAAGCATGTAGGGGGCCCTTTCTGACCGAGTTAGTTTATCCTAGTTACCTTCAAATTTAAGTCACCATACTATTTAAACATTTGTATGTTTGGGCGTAGCTTGTTAAAAGTTTATATATATATAATGTTCAAATTGATGATATATACATGGCGTAAATGTGGAATGAAGAATTACTGGTTTATTTCTAACAGAGATCATGCCTTTGACAAGAGGAAGAAAACCAAAGGAAAATTGGGAACATTATCGGCATGTCATGGACCCCCTCGTGGAGTTCACCCTGTTCGTGTACATTATAAAGTAGACGAGTCCAAAATCCTACCATCATTGAGAATGGGTATTGAGGAAGATGAACTTAATGTGTGATGTGCTATGTAAATACTTACTTTGCGTCCAGGCTCAGCTCCACACTTATTAATTACACTATCATTTGTGAAAAGTGACCGATATCAATGATTTATCAACTTGTTCACATAATAATGGAAAAAGAATTTCTCCTTTCTGTGACAAAACACCGAACCCTGGACAATGTTTATTGTTGACATTGGGTGCGTGATACATGCATTTAAAAAGGCACCCATTCTGTTAAAAAATAATGTTTTTTTACATTAATTGTGTTGTGCTAAAAATAATATAACTGCTTCCCTTATCAACACCCATGATTAGTAAATAAGTGCTAGTTATAGATCTAGTTTTTTCTACAGAGAGCCTAGTGAAGATATGTTTCCTGGATAGTTTGTGAAAGTTAGGAATTTGAAAACAATTATAATAATAATAATAACAAATTATACAATAGACAACTGAAGTTTGTGTTGTATTCAATAGCCATTTATTATAAAATAAAACGGTATAAAATGACTAGTGGTGTTGTAAACAAATGTATCTTTCTGACACATTAAAACAAAAAAAATAGGGATAAAAAATCACAGATAATAAATCACCGTTGAAAATACAATCACCTATATATTTCAGTTCCCATCTCAATCAATATCTCATCAGTATTATCACGTGCATAATTTGCAATATAAGCAGGGTCAATTTGCTTTTTTTTTTCTTTTTATATTCCGTTATACTTATTCACCCTTTTACTACGATTCTATGGGATAAGTGAGCATAAAGCTTGTACATTACGTAGGGTATAAAACAAAGTTGCATATACATGTAAATTCTATATTTTTCTCTCGCATATTTATCAAAAAGTGGATTTCGAATCTGTAAAAAAAGTAAAATCGCTAATTGTACAGGTGTTATACTATTTTAAATATCACATTATCACAACATAAAGTATCACAACAGGGGTAATATTGTTTGAGTATTTAAAAAAATGAACAGGTGTGAATGTTACCTGGCATTTACACCAAAAGCAAAGTAGCAGCATTATCTATGTTGCTTTTACATTTAAACCACTGCTAGCAAGGTATGTCCATGTCCCAGTTGCACAATCCCCCCCCAAAGAAAAATCCCTTAACTTAAAATCCACCTCAAATTAACATATAGTTCTGTAGCCTGTATAGCAGATTTGTGGGGAAATTTAAATAAAGTGAATTTTAAGCAAAAAAAATGTTTGTAAACCGGGCCCAGTGTTGCTAAATATGGTTGTTTCAATCGATACATAAAATATATCATCCAAACATAGAAAAAGTTAATATATACTGGTATGTGACCCTTTTCGGTGACCGAACCATTTCCGTGAGTGCATTTTTATCAAATATTACGAACATTTTTTTTCTGGTATTTTTTTGCGATGATGATCGAAATAAAATGTTTTAAGCTGTTCCAAAACGATTTTAGTTTGATAAACATCACCAAAAAATACCAGAAAAATGCACGGGTTATTGATAAAAATCATATCACAGGAAAGGGTCGCGCACCAGTATACGTGGATTTTAAGAGAATATACATTTATGTATGGCTTTCACACAAGTGGATGTTTATCGAATACCTAACTACAGTAGTACAAACCAAAGTCGGCCAAAAACTGAAAACCCCGGGAAAACCACGATTATATATTTTAATTACATTATCAATACTAGTATAAGGTACAGTATGGACAGAGAACTTGTGAAGATGTCATACATTTTGTCTCAATCCTGAAATACGAAACATTATTTAATGACATCACATGGAATTTTCTATTAATGAATTATCCCATTGCGAAAATACCCATTTTCTGTATTACTTGTAAAACGCGGGAAATGTTGACGTCATCTTTGGACCGGTTTCAATTATGATGTCATAAACACTACAGGGCACCCTACCACCGACATATTGAAAAGCACATTAACTGAGATAGTCTACTTTTAGACGATTCGGGGAGTGTTTAAAGATTTACAGGTAAGCTTAACCTTTTAATTAAAAGACGAGGGATAAACATGCAGTGTGTGGCCAAAATGCAGGTAACACGAAGCAAGCATATTAAAAAAGTTTTCTGTGCATGAAAAACGACGGGAAAACATGGAAATGGTAATCAAATATGCTATGTGTCAATGCAGACATGTTTGATCATCGTATCTTAACTATTCTCATGTTATTTTGTAACTTATCGTCGTAAGAGAGTGTCAAATTTCAACAGAATCAGTTACCAAATAAAAACACTTTTTCTCTTTGAGACTTCTACAATAATTGCGTATCAACGTTCTATTAGCGTCATAGTAAGAAAAATTAACGTCGAACTCGCAATATTTTTGGTAGACCTAAAGAAGAAAACTGCTTCGTTTGGTAACCGATTTTGTTTAAAGTTTGGATTCTATTACGACGAAAATATGAAAGAAAATCTTTAACCAATAAAATTGGAAGCAACAATGATACATGGTGGATAAGAAAAGTTGTTTTTTAACCAATTTTTATGTTATTTACATAATTAACTAGACCAATGTCGAGGAAGGGCCCCGCATAATACCTACCCCTTATGATTGAGTTTCTTAATATTAAGAAATATTGAAAAATGGTAATAGCAGTATGTAAATAATTGAAAATGGTATGAATTTCATGGCAAGAATTGAAAACAAAAACTGCAGGTACATATATGAAGACATAGCAATTTTGGTTGTTTTAATGAGTGTTAGGTCAAATATATACATTTGTAATAGACAATGGTGAAAAATGGTTTGAAATGTGATTTTTGAGAATATCTGAATCATATAATGTTCCTGAATATGCTTTATACAAGCATATCAAAGTTATTGTAATTATTACCTAGTACATGAAATCTACAAATATTTGCTTGTGGTCACTGTAGTATGTCCACAACTGTGTCACTTGTGCATGCTGAAGGTCTCTTGTCCAGACATGATCAATATGGGAACCACTCTGGTGAGTTGGAGCAGTTGTAATTTGAGAGAAACCTGCTTTACGTAGAAAGTTAAACGTTGTGTTGGCGGATTTTCTCAGATCTACGTTGAAGTCCCCTCCTATGACAGAGGAAGATTGAGTCTTGTGCAAAAAGCAGTTGATGACAGCCTGGACTTCTAAGACTGTTGTCTTTGGGGGGCAATATAGAAGCAACACTGAACAACTAAATGCGCTGTTTCGTTTTGTCAATGTAACTGCTACAGCATCAATGGTAGGAGTATGGTCCATGTGAATCCTCTCCAAGTGAAAGTTTGTTGTTGCACATACAGCTGATCCACCACCATATCCAACCATTCTTCCAGTAGAGAGGACATTTGGGAATCCCATAATGTTTAGATGGTCATGTTCCTGCCAGGTTTCTGTTAATGCCAAAACATCTGATGTATTGATAAAAGGATCGTGCTGTACATCTTTTCTATGTGCTACTCCAAGATTGTTAGTGTTAAAGAAGCATATCCTTACTATTTCTGTTTGTGTAGTAGACAGTTTATCAGAAGCAAAGACTGCCATTTTGTTTCTCAGTCTTGCCATTTCTTCAGTAACAGCATCATCTGTCTTAATAGCATCTGCATTGAAGTCCAGAAGAAAGAGACCTTGTAGTGAAGTTATACGGCTGAAAGCAACATATGCTTGACCTTTGGTACGAAGCTTCCTAAATGATATAACAACCTTATCCAGAGTTTGTCCTTGGACCTTATGAATCGTACAGGCCCAACACAGAACGACAGGAAACTGTATGCGAGTGATTTCTGGAGATGATTCAGATCTTCCTGCGTGCTGCTTTACTTCAACTGGAAAAATGGGAACACCATCCTTGTAAGAACACAGTGAAATCCTTGATGACTGACGAGCTATTCGCCCAACATTCCTGTTGTCAAATTTCACGATCAAGGCTTTTGGCATGGGTGATGAATGTTCATTTTGCAAAATATCATGGACAATTCCAGTTGCACCATTGACTAGTCCATCAGCTACATCAAGATTCTTTACTAACATTATTCTTGCATTTTTACAGAGTGTCAAACGGTGAATAAGGCCTCCAACAACTTGATAACAGTCATAGTTTTTCAAAACTTCAGGGTATTTAGTAATAGCCTCTATATGAACTTTCTCTTCAGTTTGAGCATTCAACATGGATGTGTTATGGATATCAACATCTGCTCGGGTAGGAAAGATATGCAATGCTGTTGTTGGATAGTTTACATCAGTTCTGGAAATTAACTTTGACCTTAATATTTCAATATCATGACAAGAATGGTCAGCAGTGCGCAGTCTGCTTAACATTTCTGCAAATTCCAAGTCTCCTTTCTGACGCATGATATCAGTTAATTCTAACAAACTGAAGTTGTTTTCCCACAATCCTGCAAGGATTACTGCCATTTCTTCAGCATCCACATGATCCGTATCTGAAATCTCACAGTCAAAGATTTTGTGTTGTTGAACTGGTGGCAGTTGATAGAAATCGCCAACTGCCAAAATACTAACACCTCCAAAGAGCATGCCAGTTCCATCTGTTCCTTTAGCTTCTTGAAGACGTTTATGAATATGAGAAAACATTGTTCTTCCTACCATAGAAATTTCATCTATGACAAGGATCTTGAGCTGTGACATTATGGTCCTAAATGTTGCTAATAGTGAAGGGTTGGACTTTAGTGAGTAGTATCTGCCACGCGGTAGATGAAGTGCAGCATGAAGTGTAGTACCGCCGATGTTGTATGACGCTGTTCCTGTTGGGCTAGTGAGAAGAATAACAGGACTATCTGGATTCTCACCAGGTTGTTGTAAAATTCTAGATGCTTGATGATAAATTGCCTTTATGAGTTGGCTCTTTCCGGTACCAGCACCTCCTGTGACAAAGAGATGGAAAGGAGGAGGTGTATTGTCTTTTGATGATACTGTGTCTTTGCACCAATTAATGATGCGAGTAAAAATTGTCCTTTGCTTTTCATTCAAGCCATGTATAATCTTACGTAATTGATTATCCTTTAAAGTATTTGGTCTGGCTGTAGTTGCAAGCAAGGTATGTCTTTGGAATAAATCAATACGCCTGTTACTTTGCTCATTTTCTTCCCTGTTCCATCTGATATCATCACACATTCTCTGTTCATGTTCTGCATCCAACATATCCCATGCATGCTGAGGTGGACCATTTTCATCGAATCTTTGCAAGGCATCTTCAACAAACTCACTATGATGTTCTAATCGATCTTTTGTTGCATTAACAGTTGCTTTCGTTTCTTCATATTTTGCTTCATAAGGAAGCACACTGTCTGAAGCTTTCAGTTCATCTTCATTCCTCCAAGGAAGAAAGAGCATTAGTTGTTGGTGATAGAATTTCTCCGATTCTTTGTGGACAGAAAATACATGATATCTGGGTGTTGCAGAGCTTGTCCTTTTTTTCATTTTTGTTTCACCATCAGTTAGTAAAATCACGTTTGGAAGGCATGAGCCAATGCTTTCAGGACTACGTTGCTGTCCATCCTGAGCACCTACACTTTCATACCATGCAGAAAACTCCCAGAGAGACATGTTTTCAAGTAATGGATGGCGGGATCTAGTTTGATACTTATCTACAACTCCTGTGGAAAAGATGTCAGTGTCTTCATCCTCTATGGTATCTAGCACTTGTTGTGGCTGAAGTATTCCTATGCGCTCCTCTGGTAAGTCCGTGGGTATCCATACCATTTTTGTGCTGCACCTTTTTAATGGAATACTGAGGAGACGATAAGCTGCCTCTTGTGCACTTATTTCTCTGTTGTTCATGTACACATTGCCAACTTTCCTGAGTCTGGCTTTAACATCAGCATCCTGTAGCTCTCTTGCTGCTTCTTTTAGCATCTGAGACAGTTCACGTTCATCTTTTGTCATGTAAGCAGCAATATATGATATGCAGGCATAGGGATCACATACAAATTGTATATCCATGTTGGCTTTCCAGTTTTCCAAAATGATTTTGTTATAGTTGTTAATATTTAAGGCATTTGTCTGTCTTTGGTGCACAATTGATTTTCCAGATTTTGAATAGTGAAGAGCTTTATAGTATTCCTCTTCATGTACTCCTGCAAGTGTTAGAATCTGTATGAGGGTGAGATCTTGTACCTTGACACTATCATCGGACAGCACTTTGTTGACTTTTGTTAGTACATCTCTAGCGTTTGCTGCAAGAGTCATGTTCTCTTGTTCATCTTCAACTGGTTGGGAAACAAGCGTTCTGTTACTTGGAGGTTTTGGATAGTGAAATCGACAGACCTTTCCCTTTTTGTTGCAGGCTACGGAGTGAACATGCCTTTGTTTACTTATCACTTCATTGTACAATGGATCGCCTTCTGGTGGAATATTACAAGTAATATATTTATCTACCCACGAACAGATTTCTTCTTCAGATGATTTGTGCAAGTCTGGGGCATTTTCTACCCATAAAACTGCATGGCAATGCGGAGATCCACGAAGCTGAAATTCAGTTCTCTGAAAATAATGGGTAACCATTCCAATTGGCTCTGATGGAGACATAATAACATCTTTAAAAAATGTTTGAAGACGGTGGTCAAATTGTCTAGCTGCAACCACAGGATTCTGTCTTAGCCAGCTGCACTTCTCTTCATATGACATTTTTTTAATGTCTTCTTCAGTGAATGTTTGTCCATGTTGGAGTCCAATTGCTTGGATAGTTTGTGGCCATTCCAAGTCTGCACATGATAAAGTCAGAAACCAAGTGAACACACCTTTCGCTCTAACCATTGCAAGAAGTTCATATTGTGCATGCTGCCAATAAGACGGTGAGCCTCTAACTTGCTGCAGAAACTGGAAAGCTTGATCTTTCACAAAGATGTCCCGTATGAATTCAGGATTTTTTAATTGTCCTGCTGTGATTTCTTTACGTCTAGCTTTTCTGAGGGCTACATTAATGGAATTTTGTATCTGCTCCTTTTCACACACATTTAATGCATAAAACAAATAGGGGACACAAGATGCAAATCTATTGTCCAAATTTGTAATCCTCTGAATGAAGTACTTTTTTATGCTAAGAGCATTGTCAATGCTCTTCAGCATGTTGCTATCGCCCCTGAGGCTGATTATCAGTACTTCGTTTTCATTGGTTCATAAATCGAAAGTTTACTCCTACTCCATCTGCCGGACATTACCGTAATCATTGGATTATCGCCCCTACAAGTTGCTGATGCTAGTCATTAAATGAAACAACCTTATCGACATTTTCTTCATTACCTGTACATCAAGAAAATGTTTTGTGTTGTGTATTAATGATAATCAGACATCGAAATTTGTAAATACAATGACAAAGACTCACGTTTATGGTGGTAAATTTTGCGAGGCGATGCCAATATGGCGGCTTGACTTTCTTTTCCGCGCGATGCATTGTGGGAGTCATATACATTTGTATATCTTCCTATTTTTCTTTTTTCAAAAATTTACTTCCCGTTTAATACTGTTGATAACTATTAAAAATACTTATATATGTAGTTGAAAATAAAAATGAAACTAAAATAAGAATGATTTAGAGTAGCATAAAATTTTGACGGAAACAGCCGGGGTGCTCTGTGCTGCTGGACCCTGAAAGAAGACGGCGGCTGAAAGAAGATGGCGGGTAATTCATGTAGGTAAGTATCACTATATATATATATGTTAGCTGAATTTGAAGTCAATACTTATACTGAACTATCAATTGCATTTTTTGCAACAATTCATTTGGAATGAGCCTTCGCGTCTATTGAATTTAGGCTGCACTTTTTTTCAAAATATTTTCAAGACTTTTCCCTTGAAGCAGTATGCATTTGAAAAATGTTATGTAAGCATCTAGCACATTTTTGTTGCTTCCGTAAAGTATTTCAGTATTTTGAAATGGATTTATTTTTGAGTGATCGTTTCATAATGGTCTCATCGCAGTCACTTCTGTCAGTGGCCCAACAGATCGGAAATTAACCAGAAAAAAAACGTATCCGTAATATTGTACTGTACTACTTACGCTACCGTGAATAGATCTAGGAATCTGTCTGGGTAATATATCGATTTTACTTTAAAATATCTGTCACTGTCCGCGCTATTGTAGGTCTAGCTCTTTCAAATTTCTGATCGGAGATAATTTATAAGTACCCCAACGGCCCAAGGCCAGAGTATGAAATCGTACAGGAACTCTACAGCTATGCTAATTTTAAGGTTTACATGTGAAGTTAATATATATAGTTTTAGCTTAATTTTAGTTTTTGTCTTTCTGACATGATGTCTCGTTGATTCTGTTGAAGAGTGATGCATGTGAACGATAACAATATGAAGATTAGGAATAATGAAGATGTCAATTAACATCTGATTCCCGGAAAGTAGTTTAATAAAGATTAGGATAAACCTAGCAAAGTGTTAGGTCCCAGTGTGAATGTGTAAAGTTCCGGTGTGAATGTGTAAAGTCCCAGTGTGAATGTGTAAAGTATTATTGGTACAGTTGAACTTTTTGATATATGTACTGTATTTGTTCATCTCAGAAATTTCAGTATTATGTCAACTGCGTCCACTTTCAGTTCAACACTTTTGATTCATCAATTTTACTCAGCCCTAGGCTCAATATTTGTCATTAATTGTCGACTGTTTTTTAGAGTTTTGTTTTCATGGTGAATGGAATGAAATGAGATAAATAGTCTAACCAATACCCCTCGAGAGCTAATTAAGACATTGCAGTATTATCATTTTGGGCCTTATTAAAAGTCAAATTGCAACTTTTAAGAAACTCAAGTGACTGTAAGTACAGAATAAGATGTCAATAATCAATGAAATTGATTAATTGAGAAGACATTTTCTTAGTACAGTTAACCAGGCTTTGTAGTGGTTTGTTCAGAACTGTAGTTCTGGTTAAGTAACCATTAATTGTGTCCTTTCAGTTACAATGACATACATTTTTGAAATACCTCTACTGTAGCTAAATATGGCATTTGTAATAGACAGCCAACATTAATTTTGTGATAGACATAGCCAAATTTAATTTTAGGATCAGTTAGGACAGCTACTGTTTGTAACAGGCATGGGTTCAATTACATGATGATGTAATTAATGAAATTACAATTACATTATGAAAATGGCATTGCCATTGCATGACGGTCCAATGTAATTAATTAAATTACACATTACCTTTCAAGTCATAATGATTTTTGAAATACAAACGTCAAAATAAATTATCATACTGCACAGATTTATCTCATGAATTTAACTTTATGATTCAATCTCTGTATGACCATGGTCAAGATATTCTTATTTTCTAGCTGTCCATCACTTCATAATTTGACAGTCCTGAATGTCAAAACAATTAATTATATTTAATATAGACTCCTATTGGGAAGTTCAAGACTATAAGCTTATACAGAAGTGTATATTTCTTGCACATAATCATAGCAATAAAGAAATATAGTTATTTATTTCCCTTACTCTCTTTCAGCAGGTGGATGTCCCTGAAGAAATGAAATCTGGAATGGTAGAAGGTATCTCTTGATTCTTCTAACTTGGAATTGGCCATTGTGACCAACAATGGATTTGAGGACCTTATGGTGGAGAAAAACGTCCTTCTTTCCGACCTCCAATTAGATGTTGAAGATGGTTAATCACTTGAGGATATGCTAACAACCATGTTGCCTTTTAAGGTCACAGTACTCTCTAAAGGCGGCAATATAATTACCATCACAAAAGAAGAATCAACAAATGGCAGAAACTAAAAAAATGTGGAAAAGATCATTGTATGCTGCATTTGTAGTAAATTTCTTTACAATCTTCAATTTACTTAAGTAGAAAGATTCACTAGTTATACCAAGTTTATGTAGAAAGGCTCACTGTATACTGAGTTTGTAGTGTACATAGAAAGGTTTACTTATTTTTTTTTCTGAGTTATGTATATACAATATATAAAAAAAACTTTTTGTAGAAAAGATCACCGCATACTGAGTTTGTTGTTTACAAATGTGTAGAAAAGATCGCTGTATACCGAGTTTATAGTTTACAATTGTCTAGAAAAATCACTGTATACTGAACATAATACGACTTCTGTTTAAAACCTTCATTTAAACTTAGACATGTATTTTTTTTTATTTATCTTCAAAGTCTACCTACAATTTTGTGTATGCAATCTTGTACTAGGATATTGACATGACAAGATTACATTGCTGATCAAAGCATGGAAAGAATATTGTATCTAAAAACTGAATAAAACAAGACATAAGCATCTTTATCATGTTTTTATTTTTATTATTATCATTATTATTTTTCCATGATGTCTGTCCACATGGAATTTGTAAGCACTCTTGTGCATTCTTATACCACCAAAAGGGTGGGTAAATCGAATCAAGTTGTCTATCTGTCCATCCATCTGTTTGTCTGTCTGTAGACACATCTTGTCTAGACAACTCCAATGAAACTACAGTAATATTCGGGACAATGTGTAGATGTGCATGCACCATTTTCCCCTGGAAATATTGATTGCCATGGCATCTGGTCAATATAGACAGGTTTTGCATGTCGGTCAACTTCTAAACCTGTGGACCAATTTCAACAAAACTTCGCAGGAATATTAGGGAACATGTGCACATGCCGCTGTGTTTCAGAGGATGTTTTTTTGCAAAAGGTCACCATGGGGAGATAACTAAGGCTGTGGGTGATGGGGGTATTAGCTATTTGGATTACAGTTTCAGTTATCCCTGGGCAATGTGGAGAGGATATAGTAATGATTTTGAGGATTGAATGTAGAGGTCACAGTACTTGCATAAGTACTATATGATTACCTTGTAAACGCATTGAGACCAAGACAGTTAGTATACCTTAATCAAATTTGGAACATGTATCCCTTGTGAGGAGAAGTCGGTTTCTTTAGAAATTCAGGGTCAGATATCAAAGATCAAGGTCACAGTCAAAAAACGGATAGTTGCATGGGGGTGTTTTTCCATTGTATTACCCTCGTTTTTCTATCAAATTTCACAACCTAAAAGATATTCACATCTTGTAAATTTCAAGGTTCAAGGTCACTGTAAGGATGTTTAAAAAAATGATAATACAAGAGGAATAAAATATCTTGTGACAAGTTTTAGAGAACAAAGAATATATAAACATGAAAAATTGTAACAAAGTCAATATCTACTTGAAGATTCCCAGAAAAAGTACAAGGAGAATAAGACCAGGTTTTCTGGAAGAATAGGCATCTTCTATTTTAAGTTATGGTGATAAGTCATGTTTGTTTTAGAAAATTGGCACTCTTATGAAGTCATTTACAAACAATCTGGAAAATGAAGCTGTCCAATATTTGTATGTAGCATGTTATTTGTCTAACAAATGGTCTTAAACCAATAGGATACACAGTCTTTAAAGTGATAATATGGTGTCCATGATCAACATTCCCTACAATGTATCCAAAGAAATGGACAACTTCCCTATCATTGCATCTTGGAGCCTACTTGGGACATGTATTACATAAGTAATACTACTATGCTTGTTATTTTTGATATCTGCTGGTCATTTTTTATGGGCTGCAATGATTTATTGATTGCATATAGTTGGTTTCAGTATATAGCAAGCTAATAACAAAGAATTTATTTTTTAATGGTCTTAGCATACCAGTACTTTCAGTACTTTGATTGGAGTTAGTTTTACTTTTCTTGGGTTTTTTTCTTCATCTCCAAATAATGTATGATGACTATCAGGAAACAGTGTGGGAAATGCCAAGGCTTCAGACTGCTTATCTAAAAATGGATCTAGTGGTATCTTTCCCTCTCCAGGTGCCATGGCATATTGTTTTCCCCTGAAGCTATAGGGTTTGTTGGATGAAGGCAGGTGTCATACTGCAGTCTTCTCACTTTTTCTTGTGGATCCTGTATTGCTGATGAATCGTTGTCTTCACACTGATGTTGCTGATCATTGTTCTCAACACTTGCATCAGTTTGTATGCTTTGTTCTTTATTACTTGAAATCTCTTGGCAAGGTGATTGGTTTTCTTCGTTGTCATCATTGTGTCGATAAGTTCCATCATCAAACATCGATGTCCATAATTCACTGTTGTCTTCCTGGCATTG